CGGGGGGTTGGGGCTGGCTGTGGGGGGTGGGAAGGCCAGGGCAAGGAGCTGGGGGGAGCCAAGAGGCCAGGGCTAGCTGCAGCCAGAAGAGATGGAGGGGCTAAGAGTCCAGAGGGAGCCCAGAGGTTGGGGCTGGCTGTGGCCGGGGAGATGCGGTAAGAGGCTGGGACTGGCATGGCCCCAGTGGCCAGGGAAGGGACCAAGAAGGGGTGGATGAGAGGACAGGGCTGGCATGGCCCTGGCCCTCCCCAGCAGCCAGGGGGAGAGCTGAGCCTCCCTACCCCAAGGACGGGGGGGTTGGCAATGTAGCAAGCAGAGAGCACCACAACCTAGTGTTAATAAAATAATCTTTTTAAAGGCTGTGATCTGATTCTTGTGTCTTGGAAGGTAACAGGAGGTCTGTCTATGCACACCCATGACTGAGAGGTCAGCTATCAGAGATTACAATTTGTTTTCTTTTTTTCAAGTTCTCTTGTGCTAAAACAGCTTGTGGCACCCCTCTAGAAGAAGTTCCCAAGTACTTTCTTCCTTGGTTCAATAAGAAAGGGTTGTTATTTTTTAACTTGGTGGTGGCAGCCTAAGGTCAGGAAATCTATGACCTTGGGGACTTTTTAAAACACGAGCTTCTAGAGGCAAGGCATTTTAAGGTCTCTTGTGGGTCCCCACCTTCTGTGCCAGAGTGGGGAAGAGCCTTGACAAACCCAAATTTCCAAACCAGTTGTTCTGAAAAATCAGCTGCCTCGTGCTAGGAGCCACTCCAGACCTCTTCTAATCCTTCCTGGGCTGAGAAACATGAGAAAGCATGTAAGATTCAACAGCAGGGGAAGTAGCGTGCAGACACGGCAGTGATTATCAATTACCAATCCTTTTATGTAGGTGTGGTATACAAAATTAGATATGGCAAGCTCAGGGAGAAGGGGAGTTTCCCACCAGAGGTGAGACTGGGTCATCAAAGATTGCAGCCACTCCCAGCAGCCACAAATACTCTCCCCCTTTATGGCACAGACTCGTAAGCAAAAGATTTTACTCTAGTCCCCATTAGACATTCATAAAAACAGACCAATTTTCAAAGAGTTAATCACAGAATCATAGAACTGGAAGGGCCCTCGAGAGTCCCCTGCACTCATGGTAAGACTAAATATCATCTAGACCATCCCTGATGGGTGATTGTTTAACTTAATCTTAAAAATCTCCAACCATGAAGATTCCATAACCTCCCTAGACATTATACTCCTGTGCTTATCCACTTTGACAGTTTAGACATTTTTCCTGACACCCTACTTAAACCTCCTTTGCTGCATTTTAAGCTCATTGCTTCTTGTCTTATCAGAGGATAAGAATAACTTTTCTACCTCCTCCCTACAATAACGATTTAGGTATTTGAAATCTTTTGTCATGTCCCCTCACAGACTTCACTTTTCCAGACTAAACAAACCCATTTTTTTCTAATCTTTCCTCATAAGTCATGTTTTCTGAATGTTTAATAATAGCTGTTGCTCTTCTCTAGACTTTTTCAAATTTGATCCAATCTTTGTTGCAATGTGGTGCCCAGAACGGAACAAAATACTCTAGCTAAAGCCTAATTGGCGTGAAGTAAAATAGAAGAATTACTCCTTGCGACTTAAAACACTTCTATGAATATTTCCACAATGATATTAGCTTCTTTTGCCACAGTGTTACCTTGTCAACTCATAGTCATCTTGTGGACCACTATGACCCCAGACTCCTTTCCACAGAACTTGTAATGCTGCTATGTATTTTTGTAAATAATGATGCAGTTCTTGCCTTTGCCAAATAAAGCTTTGCACTGCCTCTTGTGGTCATGGCACTTCCCGTGGAAACAACAGTTATTGTTACCGCATGGAGTTCCATCTTGCTTAAAAACATCCTCTGGGCACCAATGTGAAGTCCCATTGCAGTACTCAGGAAGGTCACATATACCAATACTTTCTCTGCATATTTTCCCTTGTCTATGAAACTGTTAAAATAAGAACACAAGGATCTAAAGATTATTTTTCTCTGGAAGCCTATTCCACAAACAGCCATTTACCTTCTTAAAATGTGTTTGATTTGGGAGTCCCCAAACAGCTAGCAGGAAACAAAAAAGCCAAGGGAAATTGCTTTGTCATTTATTTTAACAGATCGGGTAAAAGGAAGATGCAATCCTTGTGCTATTTATTAAGGACTGCACTCTAATTCCAGTGTTTAAAATATCTAAGATTGGTTTCCACTCCAAAATTATCATAAAATTCTTCATCCTTGAATCAATGTGAAAGAACAATGGAAAGCATAGTTTTTTTCCAGTCCACACTTTTTTTTTCTCCATGTTGAGTCTGCTGAGGCTAGAACTGGGGTCATTTCACCCACATTGTTTGCTGGATCGGTCAGTCACTGAGCAGAGTGAGACATGGCCCACCAATCAGTATCCTCTACAGAATAAGCACTTACTAGAAGTGGTATTACTATAGATCCTAGAAGCCATAATCCAGGTCCCAGATTCCATTGTGCTCATCATAATGCAAACACAGAACAAGAAGATAGTCCCTACCCAAAAGAGGCACAGCCCAAGTATAAGACTGGAGACAAATGATGGATAAAAATAGAGGCGGAACATACAAGGAAACAGTTTGGCAGTATTAGACAACTTGATAGGCAGTGGTCTCAGCCTAACTATTGTCAGTTTCTGATGGGTTAATGGAGGCTAGTATCCTGGGTGGATTGGTGTTGAGCATCAACAACTCAATAGTAAATGAGATACACCATGGTTGGTATTGGTCAAGAAGTGCTTTGGATGTGAAGAAAACTAGCTGATATTTAATGTGATAGAGAAAGAGCCAGGAGAGGCAAGCAAAGACACAAATGAAATGATCAAAGACACGGACTAGGGAAATGATCTTTGCAGCAGCATTATGAAAGGGAATGAGTGAGGAAGTCTTGCATTTGTCAAGAACAGAAAGAAGGATAAAGCAGTAATTGAGTTGTGAGATAATGACAGCTGGGATGAGAGTTTTAGCTGTCTGATTGGACAATAAATTTATACAGAAAGCATCAGCCAGGTTAAAAAACTGCCTGGATGTGAGTTCCTAGAGAGTGGTCTAGATCAATGATAAGAACTAGGCTTGAGGTACAGACAGGATGATGTTGTTTACAGTGATCAAAAGGAGACAATGGGGAGAGCATGGAGGGGGTAGAGAGAAACAGTGGAAGAGTACTGTTTTAGAGATGCTATGCTTGAGCTTGTGGCTGAACATCCACGAGGAGACATAAGAGAGACAGGCTGATACTTCTGTTTGGAGAGAAGGCAGTTCTTTAGTAGCAAAGTAGTTCTCTAAAAATGTGCTTTGTTTTATCTGTAGCCTGAATCTCTCCATGAATCTTTGAGTAAATGCAGCTGTGTGACATATATTTCTGGTAGATGGGTCTTTTTCCCCAGTGCCCAATTAGTGTGCCCAGCACAAGACATATATCAGAAAACATCCTTTTGAACTTTTGTCCAATTTTCCTGAGCATCTGGGCTGGAAGAATTGGGTGATGTGATGAAGGTGGCTTGCTCTTAGAAGGATCCTCTGCACGATGGAAGTAAAGGGCTATTAATGATGGTAGACAGAGGAAATTAGTATAGAGTTTCTCCCATATGTCCTGACCAGTTGAGGTACTGATCTGTAGGGTGGGCTGAATGGAAGCACTTTCTGCTACTGTACTGGTTCCTTCAGCAGCGGGTGCCATACTTATTGTATCAATGATAGCACAAGAATCCTCTGCTATTAAAATAGGTTTTTCTGGATTCTAGAGGAGATGGCTTGATCCTTTATTACAGAAACTTTAGTTAGGGGTCTAGTTGCCACCCACGTCTCCTCCAGATGATCTGAGAAATCTCAGCTAGATCTCCAAAGGGTATAGAAGAGTAACTTCTTTTTGTCCAAGTAAGGATACCTTACATTGGGAGATGGAATAGGCTCACCTTTCATGTGAGCTATCTCGACAATGCCCAGAAGACTCTGGACAAAAAGGTGCTCCATGCTGTGGCTGGAAGCCATGAATGATGATAGGCAGAAATTAGAAGTCCTTGTAGGAAAATAATATTGAAGAAAATATCAATTAGGGGATGTTTTGAAATAACAAGCTATGGCAACACAGTATTTGGAAGTGAGCCTCCCAGCCAAGGTCTATGGTCTCCAGCAAGCAAGGCTTCTTCGAGTGCACTATTTTTAGCTGTAAATACAGTGCTTTCACATTTTGAGTGAGGCTGGAGCTTGTGTTCCCAAGGCCACTCCAGCTGCCCTGAGGTTTTGGAGCCTGAACTTCAGCCAAAGCTGCAACATCAAAATCACTGTCTACACAGCACACTAGAACATGTCTTGCTAGCTTTGCTCCCAAAAGATGAGTAGATATTCCAATAGAACAAGGGCGGGGGTCTTTTTTGAGTTGGGGGCCATTGACTCTCAGAAAAATCTGTCGGGGGCCAGAGACTGCAGGGATGCGGTGGCAGACTGGAGTGCTAAAGTGGGCTCCCCAATGCTAGAGAGGCCCTAAGGCTCAGAGGCCAGATCCACGCAAGCCAAAGGCTGCATCTGGCCTCTGGGCCTTAAGTTCCCCACCCCTGCAATAGAGCTTGGAGCAATGCCCTGTCAATGGAGGCAGAACATTCTGAAGAGGATGCTGATGGGCAGGTCCTTTCAGCTTTTTATCAGTCTGGCATTGACAATTTTAGCTGCCATCATAAGTAAGTGCCCAAACTACCAGGCTATAGAAGCATTCTCAAGCTTTCCCTGGCCCAATGATCAGTCACTCATGAATAATAATAATGGATAATTATTCATAAACTTTTGATTTGATGTGGAAAAACATTTCATTTGAATATTATTGAAACATTTTGATTTTTTTGTTTCATCAATATCTTTGATTGAACTCTTCATGAATTAGCAAATGGTTTGGGGTTAACTAACATTTCATTTTTCAGCAAATAAATCATTTACTAAAAACAAATTGCCCAACTTTAATCCCAACCCATCTATATGGGATTAGCAGATCCAAGTGCTTGAGAAGGAAATTATGAAAATGAATAGCATTACTATAGGCTGCTAACTTTTTAAAAATTAATTAAACATTCAGTTTTCCATAAAATACAAAATCTGCTATACATTTTTCTTACCTGACAGTTTTTGCAGCAAAGTCCAGAAACACAAGCAGCACCTGGCTTTATTGTACAATTGGAAAGGCAGCAACCACTCCGCTGGCACACCTTCAAGAACAAAATGAAAAGCAATTCACCTTAAAATTCTGCTATGGGACTTTCCAGTATTAGCACTGCTCTTACCATTTATTGTATGATTTCAAACAGTACCGAAGCTCTGTAAATTTGAGACAAACTCCCATTTTAATCCTAGTTTTAATTACATAGAATTTGTTTAAAGTATTATTATTATTTATTTATTATTATTATTTAGCTATTTCTGCTGCACAAGGAATCCAAAGAGAATGCTACCATCAAGAGAGGAAGGATCCAGTGTTTAGGTCAGCTGCTTGGCACTAAGAACATAAGGATTAATTGTCTGCTCTGCTGTGAGCATAGGCAAATCATTTATTTTTTCCTGTTCCTTGGTTCCCTATTTGTAAAATGGAGGTAATACGGAAGCACTTCCTCATAGGAGAATTGTGAGGATAAATACATTAAAAAGATTGAAAAGATTGTGATGTGCCAGACATAACAGGCACATAAGTACCATAAATACATGTAATATTCCTAATGATTTTAAGATATGTGCAAACAAAATGAAGAGGTGCCCCACTCAGGGCTGGTCTTACCATGAGGAGATCTGAGGCGGCTGCCTCAGGTGCCAGACTGTAAGGGGGGGGAGGCACCACTAGGACCCAGAGAATTGAGACCTTTCAAAGTTTTGGTCCAAGTGAGGGGACATGGGGGTGTCATTTGAGCTCCCTGCCTCAGGTGCCAAAATGTTGTGGGCTGGCCCTGGCCCCACTTGAAGTGTTGGTGTGTGCCTGTGCTGGAAAGTGGAGATTTTTCATACCAGTGCTCAGTGGGGACACACATGTGCAGTGCTGGTGGTTCCTGATGAAGGATATGTTTACACTATCCTGGAAAAACTCCACTGCGTCCAGGGAAGGTGTTTGTTCTTCTGCCTTTTTTTGCAGAAGAGCAAACACACTTTATCGGGGAGAAGTGCATACCTCATTCTACAAGGAATAAGGGCTCCTCCAAAAGAGGAGGCTTTTCTGCCATTTGGCCCCGTATAGATGTATAGACAGAGTTGGCAAAGGGTGTTTGTTTATTTATTTATGTATTTATTTATTTTGCGGGGGTGGATTCCTGGGTGAGTACGACCGAGGTGTGATGTGTGGTTGCTGGAAAAAAATTGCTTCAGGTTAGGGGGTTGTTTGTATGTGAACCCTGGCCTGTCTCCCAAGGCTTGTGAGTGTGAGCTATCGTTTTTCAGGATAGGCTCTAGATTGTTAATGATGCACTGGAGAGATTAAGTTAGGGGCTGTAGGTGATGAATGGTGGTATTCTATTATTTTTCTTGTTGCACCTATCTTGCAGAAGCAGATTCCTGGGTACTCATCTGGCTTTATCAATATGTTTCTTCACCTCCCGAGATGGATATTCAAAGTTTTAAGAATGTCTGATAAAAATCCTGTAGGTGTTTGTCTCTCTCTGTGGGATAGGAGCAAATCTGGTTGTATCTTAGGGCCTGGCTGTAAACAACTGCTTGTGTGATGTGTCCTGGATGGAAGCGAGAGTCATGTAGGTAAGAATAACAGTTGGTAGGTTTTTGGTAGAAGGTGGTACTGTACTGTAGTGTCAAGGAAGTAGATCTCCTGTCTGGACTGGTCAAGGCAAAGGTTGATAGTGGGATGGAAGTTGTTGAAACCCCTGTCCACACATCTATACAAGCGACATCATCACATAATCTAACCACATAAACTACAATCTCATACAACTGCACATCCTCTAATGGGATATATGCCATCAAGAACCAGCAATGCCCCTCTGTCCTGTATATTGACCAAACAGGACAGTCTCTACGACAAAGGATTAATGGACACAAACCAGACATCAGAAATGGTAACCATCAGAAACCTGTAGGGGAATATTTTAACCTAACTGGGCACTCATTAATGGATTTAAAAGTAGATCCTCTGCAAAAGAATTTCAAAAACCAACTAGAGCGAAACTGCAGAACTGGCCTTTATATGCAAATTTGACACTCTCACGGCCTTAAAGACATGAATTGGATGCGCCATTATATTTAACAGCCAACTGACATCAAAAGCTAAGTATGGGACTTCCAGCCCACTCAATTAGCCACAATAGCATTGGCACTGCAATTAAGAAGTACTTTCCCCCAACTCTCTTCTTTTTCTTTCATATATTAGGAGATTCCCGACCCCTTTTTTCATATATATATTATATTATAATCTTTAAGGTGTTACAGGACTACTGTGAATTAGCAAATATAACCTACGGGTTATACACGTTTTTACAAATGCCGTTCCCGTTCTGCCTGCCCCCCCCCCCCCCCCCCCCATCTAATACAAGCTGATTTTTACTCAAATTAAAAGAAAACAAGACCAAGATGATAAAATCAGCATCTTCGATTTAATAACAATTTAATTTAATAAGTGTTGTTGTGTGTACTAAAATACATTCAAAGTTAAAACGTTACTTACTGTGAAGCTACTAAAAATAAATAAATTGTAACAGTTTTAAACTAAATACAGTAAAACTCCATTGGTCCGGCATCCAATGCTCCGGCACTCCTGATGGTTCAGCACCATCAGGAACCCAGAAGTGCTCTTGCAGTCCTAAAGGTGCCGGATTATCGGAAGTTTACTGTAGTACATGCAGCATGCTGAATCAGTTTATTCTGCATCACTTGAGTCAGAACTAGCATCTTCCTCCTCAGTGTCTGAGTTTTCAAAACCGTCAAAACTTTCATCATACTCACTGTCTTGAAAAACGTCCATAACCTCGGCTAGGCGTGCTTCAGTGACAGTTAAAGTCTGTGGTGCCGTGTCAGAATCACAGTCGTAGTCGCATACAGAGCTAGATGAGTAGACTTCCAGAAGAATTTCACATTTACGGAAGCCATTGTGAATAGTAGCCAGTTTTATTCTTTCCTAAGATGCCAATACCCATTTGCAAACTCCCACGTAAGTTGCACGGTGCTGTCAACCTGCCAGAGTGAAGGTGTGCTCCCCGTTTTGTCATCCAATTATCCCATTCCTCCGGATGAAGCACTTGAATGGATGGTTGACAGCCACATCAAGCGGTTGCAACTTGAAGGTCAGTCCACCTGGAATTACGGTGATATGTGCTCCCATGGCATTGATATATTTTTGAACCAAAGTTTCTTTATGGGCGGCTAAGGCATCTAAAAGTAGCAGAGATTTTGGATTAAAAAAAACCGCCTTTTCGTGCACGAAAGCAGCTGTCTGTCCATGTCTTCGTCACCTCTGTGTTCATCCAGCCCTTTCTGTTACAGACCACAGAAATGTCGGCTGGTAGTATTTCTCGAGGCATCGTCACCCTCTTAAAAATTACCATTGGTTTTAATTTCTCATCACCTGCCGTGCATGCCAAAACAATGGTAAAACAGGTGTGTTCATGACCTGTGGTTGCTACACTGACTGTCTTCACTCCAGCTGCTGCAACAGACCGAGTTGCGGGTATATCGAAGAACACGGGCACCTCGTTCATGTTAATGACTTTATTTGGTTTCAAGCCCAGCTGGTTAATTTCTTTATGGACAAAATATTTAAAATCATCCATCTTCTTCTCCCACTCATCAGGAAGCTGTTGCCCAACAGATGTCCGTGCTCGAACTGAAAGGTTATTTCATTTCATAAGTTTGTAAACCCAGTTATCTGAGCCCCCTTTAAAATCAATTTTTATTTCTACAGCAATAAGTTGAGCCTTGAGCTTTGTTATATAGCACTGTTGATACCGCACGTTGGCTATCTCTGTGCAAGAACCCACTTCACCAGGTTTTCTTCTAGTTTTGGCCACTTGTCTTTCTTTCCTCTGCATGCTCTTTTCTGAGGATTTAATTTCTCAATCTCCGTTTCTTCTTTTCTCCACTCCCGAACAGACTTTTCGTTGATGGAAAATTTTCTCCCCGCTGCTCTATTGCCATTTTCTTTTGCATATGTCAGAACAGATAATTTAAAATAGGATGTATATAATTTGCGCTTAGGCATCTTTACAAATATTTTGTTATAAACTGAAGAGGTTTTAAAATGGTGTGGTTCATAGGGCTTATATACCGGCAATAGGGTAGTACTTACTGCTTAGTGGCCTCAGCTGCGGTTTATTACCAGTTCATTACCCATGGTTCATTACCTGCGGGTTATGTACATCCGTGGGTAACCTAAGATTTTTTAAAATTTTTACATATGAAAGAAAAACTGTCGATAATACGAGTGCATGTTACATATGGACGCGGGTTATATTCACTAATTTACAATAGTTTTTTTTAAATTACAAATGAACATGGCTACCCCTCTGAGACTATTAATAGTGTCATGTGCAATTTTTATTAGCATACACTTTTTGTACCAAAAAAGTTAAATTGGTTTGGTCCCAAGACTGATTCCTGAAGAACTCCACCAGTTCATCTTTCATTATGATCTGTTACTGTATCCCTTTGAACCAGATGCTTGTCCAGCCTTCAGTTGTAATATTAATCTACATCTTTTCCAGTTAGTAATTTTCCATGTATAATGCTATCAAATTAGATCTACTTCACTTCCTTTTTATACATAAAAAAGTCATCTTTGTGAAGAAAGATAAGGTCACTAGGGCAGAATCTACCTTTTGTAAAACCATGTTATATTTTTATCCCAATTGTTATTTACCTATATGCACTTAAATCTCAATTTGTTTCAAGGTCGTACATACAACTGAGGTCATACTAACAGCCCTACACTTTCCGGGATCATTTTTCTCCCTTTATTAAAAATAGGTACTGTATTAGTAATTCTCCAGTAATAGGAATGACCCTTGAGTTTATGACTTACACAAAAAGGAAGGTGTACAAGTTGGGCCTCCCTGATCTGGCACCCTCAGGAGGGACCTTACTCAACTCGGATGAAGGATTTTGTGGGAACAGGGGAGATTTTCCTGTCCCCCTCTGCCACTGGCCCCTCCCAGACTTGGTTTTGCTACAGGCAGGAGGCCTGCTCCCTCCTCTGTTGTCACACATCAGTCCTCAGTGGGCAGCCTCACTGCCATGTGCTGGGCCCCAGATTTGTTGACTGGGCCTGCTGAGCTGCGTCAGGCCCCAGCCTCATTGAGCAGGCCTGCTGCCCTGCGCCTGGTTTCCCAACCCTGCAGGCATCCTGGCCACCAGCCCTCTCAGGACTCTCAGTCATGCAGCCTCCATAGCAGATCACAGATGTTACCAGGCCACAGAGGGCCAGTTAACAGAAGTTCAGCCTGTGTTTTTTTATTTTAACATCCTCATAAAATTCATTGTGTACTTTTGCTTTGCACACAACATTTGATGTGCATAAGTTATTCATATGTAACAAAAAACAGTCAAATTCCTGTTTTAAGTGCAAAATTGAACTCATTCTTAACTATGGATCCATGAACAGCACTTGCACCATAAAACCACGTCTCACAAAGTAGCTTTGAAGCTGGATAAAACAAACTTACTAATACCTCTGTAAAATCTGTATAAAACTAAATACTTTAATTACTAACCTCATCCATACCACAGTCACATTCCTCCTCCTCTTCTGTTACACCGTTACCACACATTTGTGTTCCAAATATTTTCTTTTCTGGTATGTTAAGAAGGCAAGTTTTTCCTGGTTTTCTTATCATGTTAAAATAAGTTGCTCTGCTGCAGTTACTGAATTCTGTGCATATAAAGTTCCTGGACAGGAAGAAAAATACCTACTATCAGAGAGAACTTTTATCTGTTGGAATTGTGACAGACCCTCCCCATGCTTTATGAAATTGACTTATGGATACAAATATGCATAGCTCGAAGATGCTTTGGATAAAATACCTCATGTAATCTACCAATTTTAATATGTGTCTACTGGATCTGTATATCTTATTTTGGTGTATGTTTCACTCTTGAATGTAAAGTTAGAAATATGCAGTTTATGGTTTTAAATATGGAAATGAAAGCTACCAACGATCAGCTGTAAACAGCCTCTTCTATCCTATAAGTGTGTGTCTAGACTACAGGATTTTTTCGGAAAAAGCAGCCTTTTTTCAAAAAACTTCACCTGCATCTAGACTGTTGCCACATTCTTTCGGAATTAAATCAAAAGAACGAGGCAGTTTTTTCGACCACGGAAAGCATTTTACAAGGAATAACACCTTTTTTCAAAAGTGCTTTTTTGAAAAAAGATGCTATTGAATGCAAACAGGGCTTTTTTGAAAGAGAGCATCCAGTCTGCCTGGGTTCTCTCTTTTGAAAAAGCAGCTCGCTTTTTCAAAATAAGTGGTTGCAGTCTAGATGCTCTCTTTTGAAAGAGGCTTTTTCTAAAGATTCTTTTGAAAAAGCCTCTTTCGAAAGAGGCTTGTAGTCTAGACTTACCCTAAGTGTGGTTGGTGTTAAGAAGACATCTGACTACCCCAACAGGCAGGGTCTCTTCTTCTTTGCCCTTAGCTCCTATAGGAGCATAGGCCATCAACAATTTCTTTCCAAGCCTCTCTGTCTTGTGCCACCTTTTCTAATTCTCTCCAGCTTTTGCCCATTTCCCTCACACTCACATCCAGGTCTCTTCTCCAACTATTCTTTGGCCTTCCTCTTCCCCTTTTTCCCTGTGGGTTCCAGGATAGGGATTGTCTGGTAATGCTAGTTGGTGGCTTCCTCAGTGTATGGCTAATCCATCGCCATCTTCTTCTCAAAATCTCTTGCTCTACTGAGTATTGCCCTGCTCTCTCATATAAGCTAAGTTTCTAATTTTGTCAGACCACTTAAGGCTAATGATCTTACACAAGCATTTATTAATAAAAGTTTGCAATCTTTTGATGTTTGTCCTTGTTGTTTGCCATGATTCTGAGCCATATAGAAGTACTGATCTTACATTTCTGCTGAAGATCCTTATTTTGGTCTGTAGCTTGATCTCTCTTGAATTTCACATATTCCTCAAAATAATAAAAGAACCTCTTGCCTTCTGTATTCTAGTCTTAATATTTTCATCAGTACCTCCCACTTTATTCATAATACTACCTAAATAGGTGAAGGTATCAACTTCCTCCAGTGTCATTCCCCTCAGGACAATTGGGCTGCTGTTATTTGCTGCATTCACTTTCATGATCTTGGTCTTCCCCTTGTGGATCTTCAGTCCCATCTGCTGTGAAATCTTGTCCAGCTTCCCTGTTTTATTTTGCATTTGAAGTTGATTATGTGACAGAAGAGTTAGGTCATCTGCAAAATCAAGGTCTTCTAGCTGTTTAAACAGGGTCCACTGGATTCCATTCCTCTCATTAGCTGTTGTTTCTCTCATGATCCAACCAACAGACAAAAGAAAGAGGAAGGGGAAAAGAACGGTTACTTACCTGTAACTGTTGTTCTTCGAAATGTGTTGCTCATGTCCATTCGAAGTAGATGCGCGCACTGCGTGCACTGCGCCTTCCGGAGCGTTTTCCCTAGCGGTACCCGTAGCGCCGGCAGGGCGCCCTCTGGAGTGGCGCCGCCATAGCGGGGCATAAGTACCCCTGCCGGCGCTGCCCCACCTCAGTTCCTTCTTGCTGGACACTCTGACAAAGGAGAGGTAGGGTGGGAGTCGAATGGACACGAACAACACATCTCGAAGAACAACAGTTACAGGTAAGTAAACCGTTCTTTTCTTCTAGTGGTTGCTCATGTCAATTCGAAGTAGGTGACTACCAAGCTAACCCCACGGAGGAGGGGTCGGAGCAGTCATGCCACCAGAGTCATGAAGTGAGGTGAACAATAAACTGATTTATTTGAACAATTCAACACTGATAAGGTACCATTTAAGAACAAGACAACCGGAACAATATTTACATATTTACATCACAGATTTGAGGACTGCAGAGCCCACCCTTGCATCCTCCCTGGTCTACTGAGGTAGCGCATAGTGTGTTGCAAACATATGAAGGGAAGACCAGGTGGCTGCCCTGCAAATTTCTGTGATCGGTACCTGGGCACCAAAGGCCACCGAGGACGCCTGCACCCCGGTGGAGTGTGCCTTCATCCTGGGTGGGGTTTTACCAGCCAGGTGATAGCATTCTGTGATGCATTGCACCACCCATCTTGATAGCCTTTGCGTGGAAATAGGCGACCCTTTGACCCTGTCCCCGAATGCAATAAACAACTGTTGTGATTTACGGAACGGCCTGGTCCTATCGATGTAGAATGCCAGCACCCGCTTGGCATCCAAGGAGTGCAGAGCCCGCTCCTTAGAGGAGGCGTGGGGCTTTGGGAAAAACACCGGGAGATAAATCTCCTGGGACAGGTGGAATGGTGATACCACCTTCGGAAGGAAGGCTGGATGAGGCCGTAGCCTTACATTGTTATTGGAAAAGACAAGGTAGGGCGGGTCTATAGATAACGCCCTTAGTTCCGACACCCTTCGAGCCAATGTAATGGCCACGATAAAGGCAACCTTCAATGAAAGGTGCAGCAGGGAACACGTGGCCAGCGGTTCAAAGGGAGGTAGCATAAGCCTGTGGAGGACCACGTTAAGGTCCCAGGTGGGAAGTGGGGCCCTCACCGAGGGGTACAGCTTTTCCAGGCCAGTAAGAAACTGTTTAACCACTGGGTTAGAAAAAAGGGAGACTCCTGCAATACCAACATGGAAGGCGGAGAGAGATGCCACATGGACTTTGACAGAAGAGGAAGATAGGCCACTAGACCGAAGCTGGAAAAGGTAGTCAAGAATAGTTGGGATAGGAGCCAAGGACGGGTGTACTCCTCTCCGGGACGCCCAAGACGAGAAGCGCCGCCACTTGGCAGCGTATGACCATCTAGTAGAGGGTTTCCTGCTACTGAGGTGAACCATCTGAACCTCTTGGGAACATTCCCTTTCAGGTTGGTTCAACCACGGATAAACCATGCCATTAGATGGAGAGACCAGAGATCCGGGTGAACCATGATCCCCTCGCCCCAGGGTTGAGTGAGCAGATCCCGGACTGGAGGGAGTGCTATTGGGTCCTGGACAAGCATGTCCACCAGGATGGGGAACCAGAACTGTCTGGGCCACCTGGGGGCTATGAGAATGATCGAGGACCGAAATGTCCTCGCCCTGGTCAATACCCTGGAGATTAGGGGAAATGGGGGAAAGGCATAGAGGATGCCCTCTGGCCACACGGTCGTCAGGGCATCCCCCAGAGAATATTTCCCCAGTCCCAGGAGGGAACAGTAGTTCCTGCACTTGGCATTGCTTGCCGAGGCGAACAGGTCTAGGCGGGGATAACCCCACCTGCAGAAAACCTGGCGGAGAGCAGAGTCCTTGAGGGTCCACTTGTGAGCTCCAAAGTATCTGCTCAGCGTGTCCGCTAGCAGGTTTTTGCACCCCGGGAGGTATTCCGTTTGAGGAGTGATGCCGTGTGTGACACACAAATGCCAAAGTTGCAGGGCCTCTTTGCAGAGGGGAGGTGAATGCGCCCCACCCTGCTTGTTGAGGTAAAAGCCCGCCGCAGTGTTGTCCATACGAACCAGGATCGAGCGCTGAGCGAGCCTTGGCAGGAAGGCTTCGCAGGCTCGCCTTACCGCCCGCAATTCCCGGACATTTATGTGTAAGGCTCGCTCAGAGGGGGACAAAAGGCCCTGAGTTCTGTGTCACCTCAGGTGCGCTCCCCAGCCCAGGTCGGACGCATCGGTGACCAGCGTCAGGGAGCGGGGAGAGGTATTGAAAGAAACCCCACTGCGTACCACAGGTTCCTGGGTCCACCATAGGAGGGAGTCCAGAATTACTTTGGGCACCGTAATTATCGAGTCCCAACGACCCCTGGACTGGCTGAAGGCCTTCGCCAACCACGCCTGCATGGGTCTCATTCTCATTCTGGCATGGCGGACCGTGTACGTACACGCCGCCATATGGCCTAGGAGCCTGGAGCAGACCCGAGGGGTCATTATAGGGGACCGAGTTAGCCCCGAGATCAGCTCCACTATGGAGAGGAACCTGCTCTTGGGCAGGAACGCCCTTGCCACCCTCGAATCGAGGAGGGCCCCCACAAATTCTATCTGTTGCGAGGGAGTCAGGGATGACTTCCCGATATTTATCAGGAGTCCTAGCCTTAGGAAAAGGGCTCTTGTGAGTGCCACGTGAGTTTCTACCTGCCCGTATGAGCAACCTCGGATCAGCCAGTCGTCGAGATATGGAAACACGTGCACCCCTTGTTTGCAGAGATATGCGGCAACCACCCCCATACATTTTGTGAATACCCTCGGTGCCGTACATAAACCAAAAGGGAGCACCGTAAACTGAAAGTGGTATTGGCCCACCATAAACCTGAGGAACCTCCTGTGGCTGGGTCTGATTGCCACGTGGAAGTACGCATCCCTGAGGTTGAGAGTCACGTACCAGTCTCCTAATTGTAGCACTGGGATGACCGATGCCAGGGTCACCATTCTGAACTTGTGTTTTACTACCGCCTTGTTTAGCTCTCAGAGATCCAAGATGGGACGGACCCCTCCTTTCGGTTTGGGGACAACGAAATAACGGGAGTAAAAACCCCTTCCTCGCATCTGCGGAGAAACCTCCTCTATCGCTCCTTTTTCGATGAGTGCAGACACCTCCTGACAGAGGATGTGTTCATGAGGGGTGTCCCTTACTAGAGATGGTGAAGGGGGATTTGAGGGCGGCAGGCCTAGGAAAGGGATAGAGTAGCCTGCACTTACAATGTTCAGAACCCAGGCATCTGAAATTATTAAGGCCCAAGCATGGG